TGTCACAAGGGGAGTGGGAGCCATCACCTTCCCTGTCAGAGTCGCCTTGTTGGTCATTTGCGGCCACATGAAGGCCCTGAAAAACATCAAAATCCTCAATCGCTAAACAAGGGGAAACATCAGCCAGTTTACTGTTTCTTTTTAGTGTGACTGGATTTGTCAGTGGGATTAACAATGGTCATAGGCACCCACCTATCACCCCAGAGAGGTGTAACCAGGCGACCCACGAGAACACTTCGTGGCATGGCTTTAGAGGAGGTTGGCTCAACTATAACAGTACTACCGGGGGACATAGGAACATTAGCTGGAAGCTTACCCCAGACTAAGTGCTCGTGTTTGGGTAGCAAAGTCACAGCTTGGGTGAGCTTAACGGTACCTATCTTGTCAGGAACAGCGCTACCCTTCCAGCGCTCAACATTGGTAAACATTGACAGAAACTGATCAGTTTCAGGATCAAACTGTGGACCAAGTTTTGACGCTACGTCCCAGTAATCTCCAACCCCTTTCAGAACATGTACGATGCGCTTTATGACATTTGAGCCCAAAATAAGATCATCTTGTTGGCCAGGCACAAGCAGCGTGGGTACCATAATGTGTATCCCATACAATTGCATTTCTAAGTCATAGAAACCCTCAGGCCTTGTCTGTAAACCACCACAGCCAATCAGCACAAGATTCTCAGCGGGTGTTTGCTTTTCAGGTAACAATCCAGCTGTTCTGAGCTTTTCAGCAGCACCCTCACTAATGCTACACGCCATCGAACCAGAATCCAACATGCCACTTAGGTTAACACCATTGTTGACCAAGACTGGTGTGTAAAACAGCTCACCAAATGCCTGAACCCTTTGAGTACTCTGAACCACTATCTGAGTTCCCTTCGGCGCTGTAGCGCAAGCATCAGTGTAAAGGTCGGCCAGATTGGTTTGGAGGGGATTGTCTACTTCACCCACACCACCCCTCAACAGATGTGGGTTCCCTAGTTTAACGGCTGGTTTTGTGGGCTAGAGGCGCTGGACAAGTTAGAGCGATGCTGGTTGCCAGGGACAGAACAGTCCTTTTTCCAATGACCAGGAGACAAACATTTGAGGCACCTGTTCTCTCTTTTACAGTGGGACAGAGTGGAATGTTCCGCAGTGCCACATACTCTACATGCTCTCTTAGGATGTTGGGGCAGGGCAGAGTGAGTGCTCAAGTTGGCTGGGGCTTGTGTTTGCTGTGTAATTAACCTGTCTAACACACTCACCAGACTCCTCATGCAGTCTGCATCAATACCAAATACACTGGGTGGAATGGCAGGGGGAGGAGACTGCATCAATGGCCTAACATCACCTGCTCCGAGGTCATCGACCATAGGCACACACTGGGACTGGGCTCTATAAACAGCAGAGCCAGGCTTGTGCGGTCTCATTGTGGCACCACGGGACTTCTTCTCCCGAAGATGTTCATCGAGCCGCCCTTGGATTTCACTGGCAGTCCACTTATCTGCCGATTTGAACTTAAACACATTAGAAAGAGACTGGTCAGGGCAGTGTTTGACAAACATCATACTGACTTCATGGGAAGGATCATCGATACTACGGCCCTGTCTCTGCAAACATTCATGCGCCACATCCACCGTCTTGTTCAGTCTTATCCAATATTCCATAGCATCCTCGCCTGGCACTGGTAAGGTATTGTAAAAGTCCGCAAGTGGCATGTTTGAGTAGGTCATTTCACTGAAGTGTTGTTTTAGAATATCGAAAATCACTTGGGGATTGGCAGCATGGTTAATAGACTTGTCATTACGCAATTTTATACGGACAACATCACCAGCTCTGCCCATAAGTTTAGCCAGAATCTCCTGTGACTGTTCATGTAGGGGAACGTTGCGTTTCTTCAAATAGAGAGCCACAAGATTTTCCCATTCATGGACAGAAAACTTGTCCGAACCATCGCCTCTAAATATGGGGGGTTCTTTGACATCAGAATGCATGACAAAACTAACGTTAGACCGAGTCATGTCAGGCAATTGAGCAGTAAGGTTAGTGTCACTAGTCATATTCTGTATGCTTCTGTCAGACTGTAACTTAGCAGTGATAGATTCACCAATCTTATCAGCTAATTGAGTAATAAGTGCACTTAAGTCAGCACTCTGCTGAACTTGACCAGGCACATCATGTCTCACAAAACGTGTTGAGGAAAACTGTGGACTATCTAAGACAGTATCACCATGACCCGGTGACCTGGCATCAAGGGTCCGATTGTGTAACCCCCTACCCACACCAAACTGGAACTGAAAAGGGACACTGTCAGTACCATCATCTTCCCGCTCAACAGTGTAAGTGCTACCCTCTGCCATGATTCACACCGTTGCACATGCACAGAAAAAAAAATACAGAGTTGTGAGAAACATACAGCATTAGATAAAAGTGCTGAAAACCTCTACAACTTAGTCTATGCAAAGAAAGAAACCAGGCACCATCCAGTGACACTGAAATGCCAAGGGCGAGGCAGCAGCTTCCCACGGCGAACGAGCTGACGTCGAACCTTGAATCAGTCCTTGAAAGGTCACGGCACCATTGTAACGGGTGCGCATCTGGTCATTAACAGTCTAATATTTTGGTGCACATCCGTTAACCCTTAATTATATCTGCGTTGTGTCCCTGTGTACTGCGCTGGTTGAAGGAAGGACCATGAGACACTGGTGACCAATGGATACTGGATACCACGTTTACTGGTGGTTCTGCACAAATGAAAGAAAAATACAAATCTCTGTCACATGTTTTCTCCATGCACGCAGCTCATCAGTCCCCTCCTCAGTAGCATTGTACAGACTGAGAGAGGTGCACATGTGCCTAAACATTTTAACAATTTTTTTTAACATAAAATAAATATGAATTATAATATTTTTAAATGTTCCATAACAATCTATTGACATCTTAAACACAATGCACATACCTGCACAAATGAAAGAAAAATACAAATCTCTGTCACATGTTTTCTCCATGCACGCAGCTCATCAGTCCCCTGTTAGCAAGAAAACACATGGAGAAGGCTGAAGCTAGCTCTCAACTACATGTAACTACAGTAAACTTTAAACAATAGACATGAGACCGCTCCTACATGGTCCAACTTGTACATGTGGATTTGTAGATTATCAGTAATTATATTAACAATGAACTTTTATATTTTAAAACTTGTGCTCACCTCCTCAGTAGCATTGTACAGACTGAGAGAGGTGCACATGTGCAGCACGCAAACCACGTTGCTCTTAAAGGGACAGTACAGGCAAAATGTGCAACTCTTACTAACATAATAATAACATTGGGAAAGAGGCTAAACCATGCCTAAAACCACACAATACCAATGGAAATTTAATTAAAGTGAAGGATTTGGTGAAATTCAAAATAAAACAAAAATACATTTCTCCTTGGTTACATACGCAACATCAGCCCGGAGCAGAAGCTCTGAGCTCGGGCAGCAGCGCCAAACACACAGGAGCAGTCAGCGCGCAGCCACTCAAGACAGGGCTGGGGGTCCAGTGTTGGTCAGATTATCCGGGGGCTTCGTCCTCCATGTCCTGGTTCCAGACCTGGGCACGCAAAGGACTGGGTCCGAGTGCTTCAGTGCAGTCATCTGTGCGCTGGTTCCGTGCGGGAAAAGCGAGAATGCGCTGTGGATCACAGGTCCGGGTGGGCTGCTCTGGTCCTCCGCGCTCGACCGCGGCTGGTTCCGAGGGGGTGCAAAGCATCCGGACAGAAGCGTGAATCCCGTTTGGTTTGTTATATGTTATTCTGAGCGTCCGTCTGCGCACATGTTTTTTTGTTTTTTCGCTTTTTCAGGGAAAGCTCATCTATTTGTTTCATGTGTTTCATTTGCACACAGCTGATGGATCAGATCCATGACCAGAGATGAATGAGGGTTTTACCCCTAAAGAAACCACATTAAAACAACAACCAAAAAAATCATTCCTTTTCCATTTTCACTCATTTTTGAAAAAGCTCCAGGGAGCCACTAGGAGAGTGCTAAAGAGCCACATGCGGCTCCGGAGCCGCGGGTTGCCGACCCCTGGTCTAGATCATTCTTAATAAACTCAAGTATTTTTCATGGTTCATTAAGACTAATTATGATATGATATAATTATAATAAAGTGTTACTGATATTTCTACCACACTGCACTTGATTTAAGGTGTGAATAACTCTTGAGGTAGTTTATTTTTTTCATTACCCAGAGATGCAGAGTTGAAGTCCATATAATATACAGATGACTGAGCTGTTTAGTTGGCTCATAAATAATACACCCACACACGCACAACTAAGAGCTTCATATGAAATATTGAAGTAGTTTTAGATTAGGAGTCTGAAGCTGACGGAGGAGGCCCTGAACTTATTTCTCTGTCTATGCCGTTGCTTGGTTTACTCCCAGTTATTTGGCTTAACCTGGGATATGTTGAATATTCCCAGGAATTACTACATTCATTCACTGTAGACTGGAATTATTTTAAACTGGTAAATCACTGGATAGGCATTTTTTTCCCGCCACTAACAGCTCAACTGAAAATGAAAGTGAAATTTAATGTTAAAAAAATAACTGAAGAAAATAATTGGCTACGTTTACATAAAAAGTACCACATTTCTGGAGTTGTCACATTATTAAAATGACATTCAAACCACAAACTCTGATGTGAGGCTATGGTCAGAAAGAAATCAGATTACTGTTTGCATGTAACTGGATTCACTGTAATAAACTATAACAAAAGCCCCCCCCCACTCCTTTAAACTCTCAATATCTTTCAATTTCATTTTTCCTCATGGGATCAATTCCTTAGGGTTTACTTTTTATTACTAGCTAAGCTGATACTATTTTAAGCGAACTGAGTAATTATTTCTATATTATAATGTACACATGCCACAGTTCCTTGCAGCTATCTGACAATTAAGTTAAGTTAAAATAATTAATGATAATTCAGTTAGCTGCTGGTTGCTCTTTTTAACATACAGTAAATATGGTTGGTCCATAGGTTACCGCATCCGCCTGGGCTCCAGCACAGACAAGAAGGACAGCGGGCGTCTCCACGTGGACTTTGCCCAGGCCAGAGACGACTTGTACGAGTGGGAATGTCACCAGCGCATGTTAGCCCGAGAGGAGAGGCACCGACGCAAGATGGAGGAGGATCGACTAAGACCGCCTTCTCCTCCTCCCATCGTCCACTACACCGACCACGAGTGCAGCCTGCTGGGGGACAAGATCAAAGGTCTGTGACTGTAGATGGCTGGTGGTTGGGTTAAAATAGGCCTAGATGAAGCTTTGTTTTCCTCTTACTCCCTTATTGATACTTTGCAGTGACCACACCCTGGGAGTGATCTACATGTACCTCTATAGTAGAATGTTCATCAGTTACCATGGTGACACAATGCGCACGTCAGCAAACACTTGGAGGGTTGGGGAAAAACACAATTTCCATGAGATAAGACAAGACACAAGATTAGGTCCACAACAATGAGACAGGACAGGATTTTTTGCCATTTTGGCTTCTCAAGAAATGTAACTCATCAGCATAAACCATTCTTTGTCCAAGCCAAACATACGCACATGGAAATAAACAATAATTTTTCTTATGTGTGCACAGTCTTGTGGCAATTTTGTCTCAGGAGATCTTGTTCCATCCCAAGCAAACACTGCCAAAAAGTTTGAAGTTAATCTGAAAAAATTGCAAGATAGAATTAAACAACACATTTTTAGGAGCCTGTGATCAATACGAGCATTAATGATCCTATTTAAGTGTTTGATTTTCAACAAAAAGGTGATAAACTGAAAACTATTGGCTAATGCTAGCAGGCCTGTGACTGTAATTTTGTGTGAGATGGACTTAGTCAGTTCTTTATGGTCACATTGTGTTGCATTAATATTCAGATTAAAGTCTAAATTGAGATAACAGAGCTTCAGACAGCACAGAGTCCAGTTAGCGTCACACCCCCAGGAAATGTTGATGACATTAACTGCAACGTATCAATAGTGCCTTTACATTTGATGGAGATTTTCATCTGGAGAGTAGAAAGAAAATAGAGAATAGAAAAAAGATTGAAACAATGCCATTGCCAATGTGTGCTATAATTAAAAAGACAGTCCAACAAATATTACATTGTTTGACATTTTGGGCCATGCAGTGTTTACAGTATTTGTTTGGCTTTATATTAAACCAGATGTGTTTACTCTCCAAATACTTCCTTTGCTGTATACCATCTGACCTGTATCTTTTCTCTGTGTGTTTCAGATGATGTGAAGTTTGCCGAGGCTGTCCGGGTGCTCCTGACCTGGCTGGAGCGAGGTGAAGTCAATCGCAGAAACGCCAACAACTTCTACTCCATGATCCAATCCTCCAACAGCCACATCCGCAGACTGATGAGTGAGAAAGCCCAGCATGAGAAGGAGATGGAGGAGGCCAAGGAAAAGTTCAAGAGCGCACTGGCTGGGATACTGGGCCAATGTGAGTTATTTGTACACAAACACTAGAAATAGATGCACCAAATATTCATCTTCTGCCCAGGGTAGAACTGCGGTCATTGCTACTTGTTACTAGGCAAAACTAACAAAAAAGTAAGTATTGCTTTTAACTTAATGTTTTAATTACCTATAAAACCTATGCTATAATTCACAACACCCAGGAATTAAAGTGCTGGACTGGTACGAGTTATGGTAAGTAGATGCAAGCCAGGAGAGTCGGACAGGGGGAACTGCAATCTCTGGAGTATGACATTGCAGTCTTAATCATAATTTCAGTCAGCTATTTTTTTCAGATTTTAAACTATATTTTAATCATAGACAGTAAACACAACTTATTATGCATATTTCCAAAGTAATAATTATCATCTTATCAGTGTTTTGGTATATTTTCCACCTCTACATGTAGTGTGGGACTAACAACACAGTTTGCACCGAGGATCCAGAATTTCCTGCTGCCCTCCAGATGTTAAGTTGAAGTTAATTTTTAAATCGTACTCGAAGTTCTCCTTTTTCTCGACATAGAAGTGGAGAACAGAAATAAATGACAGGTGAGGCTGAACATGCTTTAGAAGTTAGTTTTCATCTGAGAAAAATCCAAAGGAGGCAGACTGCTCCCACACCTCTGACAGCTCTCAGTGCAGCTGCACAGCCCACGGCATTTCAACTCCACAACCCCACCACATGCATGTGGAATAAGATGCAAACATCCTTGAAGGCGTTGGTGAAGCAGAAAATTGTTTGTTTTATGTATTGTTTATGAAATGTGATGGACGATGGACGATGGAACATGTGGCCATGTTTACGTAATTGACATAATCAACAGTTCAGATAGGAGTTCAAACCAAATGCATTGTGTTTCTTCCTTCGCATGTGTTTCTGCTAGCAATTCTATTTTTCCTATTTTTATTTTGGACAGGAGTTACTCAGTCCAAATCTAAAACTGACTGACAAACAGTACATTAGCTCCACTGCATAAATATTGGCTCATCAATATCCTGCATTTATCATGCTAACCAAGAAACACCTGATGTTTTTTACTTTATTATCGCAGTGTTGGGCTCTTGGATGAAGCTACAGATCTGCAAGTGTTCTTTCTCTAAATACACACACAGTACAGTTTGTGTCTTTACATTGACATGATTGAGTGAAATAATTGTAGTAAGAAGGGGCAGGAGTTTTAACAAAGTTTAGAAGCTTATTTTCCATTAGTATGGGAGACACTGTTGTTCGTTCCAGTTCAGTGCAGTCCAGTCTGGCTATGCTTCCATTGTATGGAGTGCCAGCCCCATGCTGGCACAGCACAGAAATGCTGAATGAAATTTCTCTATCAGTAATTACCCACTCTTCTATTAGCAGCTGTCTCCTTCAGGTATGTAACCACAGAGCATGATTTGCAATGTAAATTAGATTGTTTGGTTGCTTTGCCTCGAACAGGGCATGCAGTGCTGTGATGGTAAGTCTAACACAGACTTACACATACATAAAACAGTTCATCAGGTTGAGTTGTTGACTCCAGTCTCTCACACTCTGCTCCTTCCCAACTGCCTCTGTCTCCTGCCCCCCTGTGGATGCTCTCTGCCCCCTCCTGCACCTCCACAGTTGAACAGATTGTGTCTGTATTCCAAGCTGCTTCCAAACAAAAGGCATGGGACCATTTCTCCAAAGCTCAGCGCAAGAACCTGGACGTTTGGCGTAAGCAAGTACAGGTTAGTACACTTATCGCAGATATTTTTGTAAATTGACAATACTACCCAATTATGTTTTACACACATATCTACAATTCAGTATTTGAAATTAATCTGAATTCTGAATTATAAGTATATTGGGTTAAGAGAGGTCAAGTAAACACCTTTTCCAAAAACTGGGACAAAATTTTCTATCAAAAACATATTTCCATGCAAAATCTGCCTGTTCTGCTGCCTTTCATGGTGACAAGATACAGTCTTCTTGGTGAGTCCAATTGCTAGTACTGCAAATGTTTTCAGAGCTCAAATGAACAGCCCTCATATCATCTCTGTTGGCTGAACAAAGTTAGTTGGAGCATGAAATTGTGGATTTTTTGCCTGGGTCTATTGGATCTTATAGGTTCTTATCTGATTGGTAAGTTCCCTTTAGCTTTGTACAAAACTCTATTCTGTACGCACAACTTGATTTCTATGATAACAGTCTTTTAAAGGTAGGTAAAATGTTGTAATATGTACTGTATGTTTCCATGTGTTGATCTGGTATGGAGGAAGCATATGCTAGGTGTATGTATGAGGGTGATAGTAATGGCCAGATAGTAAAAATAGTTAATATAGCTCATTCTCAGACAATAAAGACAGCCTCATGTATTAGCTGAAAACATGTTTTTTACATTGATGTCCAAGGTTGAGGCTCTTATGTTCAATAGAAAGAGCAGAGAGGCAGAGGTAGTTAATCATCAGACTGACAAACGGAGGAGCACTCTGTCATGTTGACCGACTGCAGCTTGGAGCCACAATCACTCCACAGCCACCCCCTCTATCATTGTCATATGTGTTTGTGTGTTTGTTTATGTGTGGTACAGCACAGGCGAGTGTGTGTATTTGACCTCTGCCACGGGCATTGCTTGATAGTGTCAGCTCACAGATATATACTATTTACTCTTTTGGCTGCTTTTAGCTCCTTTGATGTTTCATGGGAGCATTTCACTCAGTGTCATTTTCTGCTGAACCTTGTGGCTTACGATGTACTTCAGATTTTTCTGTTGGTTATCTTTGCAGGAGATCAGAAACATGCACAATGAGCAGCTGATGGGGATCAGGCGAGAGGAGGAAATGGAGATGTCTGACGACGACATGGAAGATCCCCCCAGCAGCAAACTCTCAGAGGACTCAGGTCTGCTGTGTGCTGTTCTCTGCCTATTCAGCACATACATATCAGCTACACAACGCTTCGGCATCGCTCTTGACATGACAGCCCATAAACTCATCACCATCTCCAGGGGGTAACAAACTGCCAACAGTAGAGACAGCTATATTCTACCTCTTAGCATCTGACAACACGTTCTCATGAAGAAGAGACATGCTAGCTTCATGTCTCATCTTCAGAAACACTCTTTGATCTTTAGACCACACTACTGCAGTTCATAGTTGTCTGCCTTTTAACCACACGTCCATGAATAATGTGCAGTTGTCCTTTGGGCCTGTTTAGTTGTTATGTTCTGTTTACATAGTATTTTTCGTCAAAGCTTTTAATCATTGAGCTCTCTGCCATTAGCAAATGTGTACTTTTTATTAACATTCAAATGCTTGCACCTGCTCTTGTCAGCTCAGCCTATTATCTGATGCAAGCTTGATGTTTAAATTTCAATGATTTGCATTACTGTCACATTTCATCTCTCCATGCATAACAAATTGTCAACCTATTTTATAGGTTTATTGCTTTTAATCAGTATTTTCGACAATTTTTGGGTGGGCAAAAATGTTCAGAATATGTTTTGAGTGGCTTGAATAGCAGTACTCTTAACTGCTTAAACCTTCTGCTGTATGTTTTCTTTTATATGCCAGTTGTTCTCTGTGGACACTCAGAACATGAGCTCACCCTACACTCAAAGCATGCACGTAGGATAGTGCTGTGTAGGAGAAGGCTTATCTCCTCTGTCCACTCTGCCTTTTCCCTGAGAGCTACTCCTAAGGTCTACAGGAGGAGCAGAGCCAATAAAAGACATGAATCCTCCTACACTTATCTCACCAGGGTTTGTTAATGGACTTTATTGATAGCAAAATAATAGTCATGTTATTGGATGTACAAATTCAGCATTACCTTCCTTGGCTGGAGTCATTTTATGAAAGGAGTGAGGTATTTTATTGTAGACGTTCATCAAGTGGACAAGGAGTATGTTTTCAAAGAGAGTAGGAGAATCTAATTTATTATGTTTAATGGTCCTTTTATTGTGTTATATTCATCTCATATTTTTATCTTTGCGCTTGTGTCTTCCAGTTGTATCCCAAGCCGAAGCACTGAAGGAGGAGAATGACTCTTTGCGCTGTCAGCTGGACGCCTACAGGAACGAGGTGGAGCTCCTCAAACAAGAACAGAACAAGAACCAGCCCCACAGAAGTGAAGAAGAGAATACGCACTCACAGCAACTCAGCTTCCTCCAGCAAGCTTTGCAGGGCATGCAGACGGTACATACGCTACACACACTACGGACATTATATATACACATGGTAAAAGCAAGAGTTTCTATCTGCGTCGATGTTATTTTTAAGAACGGGGTCAGTCAAGGGAACCCACTAAGTTTTCTCTGCTACCTTAAAAAACTCAGCTGTCATTTATTTATAACCTGATGCTCAAAGATCTATTTGAACAGTAATGCTGTCTGAGCCAAGAAGTATTTGAAACTCCAGTCCTGTTGTAAGAAAGTTTTTTAGACTGACTTTAAGTGGATGAGACTGTTATTTGTTGTGATTCGCACAGTTTTGGAAAAAACTCAAAGATGTTATACCATTTTGAAAATGCAGTAATCACAATTTTAGACACTGCAGTGCTTTTAATGTTTAGCACACATATGTTTTTTTTAGTTTGTTGTTTTTTTTTTTGCATTTGCCATTGCTTAATTGTCAAAAGATAAAAGATGAAGATAAAAATAAACCACAACATCCAATTATTACTTTCACAAAAATATTATTATTATTTTTTCCCTTCAACACAGGGCTGCTTTCTGTCATGTCTGCAAATGGAGGCTGCACATGTCTTTACTGCAGATTTCTATCATTGCAAATTCTTCCACATTTCTTTTCATAAATGCTTAATGAAATGTACCTTTAAAAATAAATACTGAACGCACTCAATTATGGTTTCAGCAACTCTTAAAAATGCGCGAGGACTTAAAACAGCGCGAGTCAGACCTGGAGAAGAGTTTGGACGACAAACAGCAGCTGAAGAAAGAAGTCCAGACCCTGAAGGATGGTCTTCAGCATCTTCAGAGTCTACAGCACACAGACGGAATGCAGGTGGGGGATTAAACTTTACATTTTATTAAAGACAATCTTATTTTTTCAATCACTGGCACATTAAATCGTCATTGCGAGGAGGTGAGGTGACTCGGGCATCTGTTTTAACATCCCCCATGGAAATGAAGTGTGTAGGGAGACTTTGTACAGGCTGTACTATGTTGCTTGACTGAGCTATTCCCCTACTTATGCTGATGGAAGCTTCTGGGGTGAGGGAGGTCTGTGTGTCCCTATTCAAACTGCTGTGCCTGTGATTTGGCTTTGGCTATTTCAGGAAACCAAACATAAGAAACCCACTTTAATTAACATTAGCATTGTATCACATCTTTCTCTATATGGTAATAAGAATAGAATATGGTGTGCACTGTTAGAGAAACTTCTTCTAATAAGGATTCATGGAGATGGAGAAGGATTTAGCTCAAATAAAAGATGAACAACCTTTCCCAGCACAAACGCATGTCGCCATATGTCTGTCTGTGTAAATGAGCACTTAGCTGGATTCACAGTGTCTTTTCCTCATATGTTTCTAATCTACCACAGCTGGAGACGTTGCAGGAAGACGACAGAAGCCCAGAGGAGAACGTTGATCAAACCACTGTAAGCTCTGTCTCCTATCACCTCCTCCAGTCACAGCATAGATCATTGCAGGACCTGGAAACTTCACACTCACCATGCGTTTTAATAATAATACAGAAATTTTTTTTTATTGAATTGTAGGTTTAAATTAGACACAAATATAAGATCCACCTTGTTTCTATTGCACTTCTCTCATACTTAGTTTTGCATGGATTTACTCTACTCCTGTTGTTTACACACATAACAGTTAATTGCTTCAAATCATCAGCATTATCTTCAGCCCATTGGTGCTAACTCAAAATCTTCTAACTGCATTTGTTCCACTTATTTATGGGAAATTTGTTATCCATTGAGCATCATGTCAGATTAAATGTGTTCGTTTAACATGATTATAAACAGGCTTCTGGCTATGAGCAGATGTATTTAAAGCGGTGGTGTCTCTGTGTTGTAGGAAGTGTCTGTAGCGTCCACAGTGGTGTCGTGCAGTCAGGAGAAAGATGCTCCAACAGAGAGAAGTCCACAGAGCCCTGTCCAGTCAGAGAGAGAGGCTCTGCTAGTTGGTGAGATCACTTCACACGGCCACAAAATAAACCCATATAAATCTGGGTCTGAATAATATATCAGATGGCCAGTGAAATATGGATGTGTGCAGTATACGTTTAATTTTGTATGAGCCTTGGCTGGGTACATACAGTACATTTGGCATTTATATTTCACTGTGGGCCACCTCTAGTTTGATCCAAATATGAGTAATATAGATGAAGAATGTGACGCGATAAAATTATAAAAGTTAGTGGATAAAAAAAATATGTTTCAGATTTTCTTTTGAACTTTTTGTAGCATTTGTGTTATAACACCATTTAAAGGAAACATATTAAAGGTTGTATAGAAGATTTTCCAAGGAACGAGAAATCCAGCGACTGTTTGTCGTTTTGCAAATGTTGCGCATGCATGAAACCACCCCCCCTCCCCCACAGCTCCCTACGTAGAAACGCCTCCTCCCGCCTCCTCCTTATGCCAGAAACAGGTTTGTTTCTAGAAAACAAGTACTCATCGCTGCACATGACTTGTAAACAACTAACTACAGTGTTGGTTAGGCAAGGCGGAGAAGTGAGGAGCGGGGGAGGGGGTGCGCGGACATTTCGTGCGTGGAGAAGAAGTGAGGAGCATGGGGAAGAGTGGAGCGGGGAGCGAGGAGAGGAGAGAGGAGCAGTGCAGAGAGGGGATGCGCGGAGATTCCGTGCGCATCAACTAACTACAACACGCAGCAGCAAGCGGGCTCTTTCTTTGCATTGAAAATTACGTTTTCAGGCATAGGATATCACATTCGTGTCCTGAAAAACGTTTGTCTAGCTCTTGGAAATAAAGTACGTTTTCAAAATAAGCAGAAGTGACCTGTCCAGGAGTAATTTGGCGGCCAATGTCTTTAGACCCTTTGTCTGCTTCAATGCACGCCATCGCTGGAATGAATCTCCAAGAATCACCTTCTTTCAGCGACCTCAAAAACGGACTTTCTTTTGCCGCTAACTGCTCGTAGATTCTTGTCGCCATTGCAACAAACTTTGTGCGAACTGCGAGGAAGACATAGGTCAAAAAGCCACTAAGAACTGTTGCTTTGGTGGAGTAAACAGCGTCTGTGCATCTTGCGTCTGTGGACTGTGTGACAGGCGTACGTAAACCACGTAATGGCAGCGTGCAGGCAAGTCAGTTACGCTAGAAATGTAGGGAGTTTGATTGACAGCCTATCAGCTAACAGATAACGAGGCAGTCTCATTATCTATTGGCAAATGTTTAGCCCCACCACGTCCAGAGTTGATGAATTTTTATTCTCTTTTTTTTGGTCATCATAATTACAAGGCTACTGCACCTCTATAATGCTATCATTGACAATTTGAAACAAAAAAAAATCCTCCATACAACCTTTAAGTAAAATTTACTTTTAAGGACTTGTAGCCATGTTATAACTGTGTTCTGTCATCATTAGTAATTTTTTTTTTCCCCTTAAATACAACTATCTCCACCCACTGCTCTGTACATACTTGATTATTCATCCAATTCAGACTCCAGGTCATAGGTGCAGGGTTCAAAATGTCATGTAGCCCTTTCTCAGCTATAAAAACATTTCAATGGAATTATTTGGCTCACTACAGTGAAATGCCACAAATCTCCATTAGCTCTGCAGTTTTGAATGGAAAGTTAATGGACTTGTTTTATGAGCTGTTAAATATTTAGGCATACAGTGAACAAATGTGAAATAATGATCTATGTATGTTACACTTTATTACAAAATAAATACCTGGTAAAAATACACTTATTACAAACAATGTGCCCCTATTCTTATCCATGTCAGGTTGGCATGAGTGCACAGGGAGTGGGAGGGTCTCCTCCACTAACGTCTGTGCTGTCTGCCTCTGAGCAGATCTACTGGAGCATCATCACAAATAAACATAGACAGAAGAACTGCTCCAGTGGGTGGATTCATTTGAATATAGCACCATTATATTTTACTGTAACAGGTTATTTAAGGTCAAGACGACTCATGTTTATGTATGTACTAGTATGTGCAGTACTCCAAGGCTCGTACACTGTGTGACCTTTTTTTAAATGTCATAAACCTTCATAAACAGGTCTAACTATGTCCCCAGATAGAAACAAACATTTTCAAATCAAATACCACGTTTTCTGATACTAGTTATAATGCAGATTTATTCTTCATTACAAAAACATTGGACATGATGCCCCATTTATTTAGGTTTTAATTTGGTGTTTTGGTTCACAAGATAATTATTCAAACAGAAAGCAGAATCAACCACACACAAGTCTCCTCTATGTGCAGGTTAAGACACTGGTCACAGGTTGAGATGTGATTATATTGTGCTGTAATTGTGTGGATCAAACTCACTTTTTAATAATGTCCCTTGTTAATATTGGTTCATGAGCATAGGTTAAAGTTCAACAGAAACACCTGACCCTCTCTTTGAGCTGACACAGATGTTTCAGAGCTGAGGGAGCACAGCTTTGATGGGAGATAAGAGCATCAAAGTGATCATCAAACCCTCACTAATCTCACAGCACAAATACAAGAGTCTTTACCAGCTCTGAAACTGAGGAGAGGATCCTGCTCTTCTTACAATCACACATATTAGACACAAGAGGGACTTATCTCTAATGTGTTTTCTTTGTTGACACTCAGGAATCATCTGTACATTTCTTCATGTTCACCCGTTCGGAGCCAGCCTCGAGTACATCTGCTCCTACCTGCAGCGTCTGGACTCCAAGGTAACAGGCTTAAATCAATGAGAGCTCTCACTGCTCATCACAGTTACACAACTACATGCTCACTTAATGCTGCAGTACAGTGTCAGTATCCCACAGGGCAGGCAATAGTGGGCCTCTTGCTAAAGCCCTGTTGTGCACTTAAGTCACCTAGTCTATCCAAGACAATCCTTCAAAATATTTATTGCACTGCAGCATTTTGTAGTTTGCTCTTGTGACGTTTATTTTCTATTTTTCCTTCTGAGCTTAAAAATTAAAGTTTTCCAGTCACCTGTTGGTCTCCATGAATTACTGCATTACCTGGAATCTTACACAGTACAGCACTGAACCTATCTATCATTCATTTATTCAATTTGAAGTGTTCTAATGCGAGAACATGGGAAAAAAAAGGCATTTTTACAAGGAATTGGCACAAGATCTCATGTGACTAGATCTCACGAGACACAAATTAATCCCTGGTGAGTTAATCCCTTTTGAATCTATTATTATTATTATTATTATTATTATTATTAATTTACTGTCTTGTCTGTGGTTGTAATTTTACCAAAACTGAACCTGTCAAGCCACTAAATTAATCACACTGTGGTGATGGACCCCATATGCACAAGCTTGCCCTGCTTCTTTGGGAGTCCATGTTTTTTTAAGAGTTAACACATATGGCACACATAATATATATGTTAAATGCATGTACATATTTATATATATGTATAAAGGTGTGCCTTGTGAGATTATAATTTAAAATTGTGGGGGAAAAAAAGGAAATTTAATTGAATTGAATAGTTAAGCGTCTGGAGAAGCTGTTTTTCCTAAAAGCAGTGCAACAGTATTCACAAAAAATATTAATTAAAATTACACGATTAATTTTTTTTACAAAGTATGTCAAAATCTTGTTCTTGCTGACCCAATCTCGTTTCTCTTCTCATCTGAAAATTGGTTCTTGTCCCACCCCCATTTTTTATCATAATGAAGATAAGTTAAATGCCATTATGTGATACATAAATCTCCATGGAAACGGGCCAGAAGAGTTCCATAGTGCACCTTTAACCTTGTAGATAGTTGGTCCTGACTCTTGAATCCTCTGACACTTTTTCATTTGCACCTTGTCTCTCTGGGAACAGCCATTTATCCCCATATTTCTGCACCGGTATTACGGCTATTCCTGCCACTTTGAGGAGCTTTCAAAAGTGCCAACTGTCAAAGTCACCTCAAAATGGTAACTTTGGCAGTAATGGCCATTTTAGCTTTCCCTCACAGATGTACCGTTGGAGGAACGAACAGGCAGGTGTCAGAGCGGTCATTTAAGTCACAATAAAGCGACATTTTATACTCAATACAGTTTCTGATATACAGGGTTCCCACGGTCATGGAAATCTTGGAAAAGTCATAGAAACTGAAAATGTCCGAGAAAAGTCATGGAATTTCACTCTAATCTCTTTCACGCAACTAGACATTAGACTGTTATGATTATTTCTGAACCTATGCGCTTTTTGTTTAAAAGAGACAACAATAAATGCACTGACAGTATATCAAATGTTTAAAAAGTATAATACCATACCATAAGGTGAGTGGAAAGGGTTAACATTTCATATCTAAAAGTATGCTCAATTCTACACATGTAGGATGCCATAAAGCCACGGAAAATTCATTTTAGGTTACGAAAAAGTCGTAGAAAACTTTTGACATTTTGTCAGTGAAAAAGAGTGGGAATCCTAGATATAAAATTTCTGCAATAACTGAATTTGTCTCATTAAAGATTTGAGTATGTAAGTAATATTAAATAAAATGTAGTAACTATATAATATATCTGCGTTATTCCCTGTGAATTAATTTGTCCTCTCTCCAATATAGTTAATTTAAAGAGGCATTGTGTAACAAGTGCAGATGATTTGGCTTTGTCTAGAATGTTCCACCAGTTTATATTCCTCAAAAACAACTTGGGAAAACCTGGATAGTTACAGTGACTCTCCACAGATCTTTCTTCTACTTGACCTGATGGCATCACCTGCTTTTCTCCATGTAAATAGATCCCATACTGTGGAACATTCGAGACAAAATAATAATATCTCTATGAAGACAAGCAGCTAACAGACTCTCTGACAGAAAAATTTCATGGTGCATCTTTAAATTATTGTTAACTATTTGTGCATTGCGTGTTGACAGATCACCACAAGTGAAGTGGAGGCGCTGCTCTCTCGGCTGCCGTGCACCTTCAGACAGGAGCTGACAGGAGTAGGAGCCAGTTTAGAAAAACGTTGGAACTTTTGTGGATTTCAGGGCATCAACAGTTTATAGACTCCTCCCTAACAAGGAGACATGGGACATTATTCTGGTGCGAAAGGTTGACCGAGCTGAACAGAGTGGTGACAATGTGGATATCATCCTTTTTACAACTGAAACCTCTTGTTTAAATGTTTATGTGATTTGTAAAACTAAATAAATGAACTGAATTATTGTTGACCGCTTTAGTGAAATGCACCATCATTCTTTAGCCTTCTAGCAAACATTAGGTTAGGACTGGGTGACAAAGGCCAGTTTTGTTTTTTTTTTCTCAAATTGATTGATGATTAATTTTTATTTTTGTTTTATTTTATTATCTCATTAAAAAATACAAATGGTTTACGATATTCATTTTATATATTGTTCATGTAAGTTTTATGATGACCTCTCCATTAAAAAGACCCCAGTTTATCATTGATTACAGACGACAGATTTTTTATCAGAATTAAATTTGATTTCGTAGCTCTACTTTACGTTTGTGAAAGTTATTTATCCTCTGTAATTTAACCCAATCCTATATGTCTGTGCCCCTCATCTCACCAGTGTATAATGGTAACACACAAGAATGAATGTGAAAGTGGATTTGTGCATGTGTCTGTTTCAGCTCTCTGATTAAACAGCCACGATACCTGTCCTGGGGTCCAAAATTACAAAAATGTGGAAAAATTATTTGAATGATTACAATTTTTTCTCAGCCTATGGGACGACATGGTCAGTCACAAAGTTATACCAGAGATTTGTATTATAGTATATTGGTATTAGGATTTTTTGTGCAGAATATGTGATTTTTAATAAACATATTTTTTCATAACCTGTTTTCCTGCTATTTTGATTCATTGGGTTATTTAAAAATACCTAAAAAAAGGGGCATCCTGACTGAGTTTTGGCATCACACTAAAGCTAACAACAATAAGCATGCAAACGGCGCACTTTCTGATTCTAAAACAATAATGCTTTATATTTAGATGCGGACAGTACACAGCTGACTTAGTTTGACCTAAAAAACTGCTTATACAATATATCTGTAGTGGGGCAAGATGAATTTCACTCAAATAGGAAAAATCTGGTACTTGCACTTTAAGCTTTGGGTGCACAGGGACAGGGCCAGTGCCGGGACTGTGAAACACAAATGAAAAGACTCAGCTCACTTCTTCAACACGGGAATAGGCAGATGAACATCGCACACAAGCTGATTTTAGTATTTGTTTGTTGATAATAATAGATTGTCTGATAATTAATCAACAGTTGGTGTGAACAAGAACAACAAACAGACAACCCTGACGTCAGCAATGTCCCATGTTGTGTAGAGCGTCACTGACAAGGTGGCAACAGCAACAACCTGGAAAACTAACTTTTCTTGTGAGGGCCCTGCTGTCTGCCTGTCAGCTTGTACCTGCTTTACTGCTCTCCACAGCAAACTGTTTAGACTAACTGTTCAGCCAAAAATAGGCTAAAATAAAAGCATGTTTTTTGTTTGTTCTTTTGGGTTTTTTTTATATTGCTTGGTAAAATAACTGGGAAAAAATCTGCATTATAACAGTGAGTGGAATCACCTCTCCATAGATCTGATTTATAAGTTAACATGGCCTGGTAGCATTATTAGTTTGCCTCATGAAACATTGCAGACAAAGCAATAACATCTCTAGGGAGACAAGTAGGTGTGGTGAACCTTTTACCAGAAAAATTACATAGTGCACCTTTAATAACACAGGATTCAATTTCTGAAAGCATGATTGATCAGTCTTGTAGTTGAATTGTTGTTCTCTGCATATGCTCTATGTCACAGTCAGCCCTCTGAGTGGACCTATATCTGTGTTTAACTTAAACAGTCGTAAGTGAGCTATGCACTCCAGAGTCTGACCCCCATATCTCAAGCATATATTTACCTGGGTCTGGTGTCATTTCTTAATAATTATTTATTTATTGAACATCAACTACCATCTCCTGATGTCAATTTTATTCACTAGAAACAAAATGCTAAAAGTGTAATGAATGCAACGTGGACAGTGGACCACAGCATCCAGAGAGCTAATGAGAGTGACTGTGTGCTTTTACATTGTTTACAAAAGCAAAATTAAAGCAGCATGAATGTCATTTCACACATTCATATTCAAATATATGCGGCCCAAACAAAGAGCTATGTTTGATGTTTGCCTTGATTTTATGCAGATATGCCACATTATACAGTGTTTGTGATTGCAGGCATCTTTCCTCTGTTCATAGATCTGACAGCTGATTACAAAATAAACTCATTTGCATTGGGACCTTTACAATCAAACACTGCAGCATCATGTACAAAATCAGCACTGACCTCATTAAGCCATGTATTCAATATAATTAACATGACATTTGTCTGCTAGTGTGTTTTTAAGGATAAGTACAACACACTGTAAAATGTTGAAAAATAAGATTTAAATTGACCTCCATTATCTGTTTAAACTAATGATTCAAACTTAAATCAGAAGTCTATTGGTACAACAGGACCCCACGACCCCATTAATACACAAATTCAACAGAGAAAGGTAAAAAGGTTCCTCTGATGTCTCTAGTGTGTATTTACCCCACAATGAGTGATAATTGTATTACGTAACAGGTATTTATATTCAAAGGTCTTATATTACACAGAATTGAGTCTTGTGAGCTTTAAGCCATGTTATAATGTTGTACTTGTCACCTCCTAAAAACATACCTGAAGTTGTGGTTTGTTTCATTCACACATGTCTGAGTAATCCTTTATTATTAGTCTGTTTATGGGCCCTATCTTGCCCCCAATCTTAGCGCTAGCACAAGTATGGGGCATGGAGGTGTGCTGTGTCTGAATATCGGGTAGAGTGGAGCAGATTGAGGGTGTGGTGTGGCGCGTTCAGTCAATTACTACAATTGAAAAAATAAATATCAAACTAGTCCACTGAAACACAACATGCAACATGCTTTTATTTGGAAATATTTTACGATAATAAAATATTAATAAATTATTGTGTGCCCTGCGGGATGTTCTGCGCCATTCAGATGCCCTCCCGCAGCAGACCACATCCCCTCACCTGCTTCCTGTATCGGCTTGGCACAGCTCTATAGTTTGGCTTGAACTGGATCTGTACAAAAGCTGCTCATTCACATGAGGCCATTTGCAGCACTGTTCTAAAGTGTGTTTTCTTACTCTGCGGTCCTAATGCTGCAATGTCGTGTGGTAATTGTTTAGTGCATATCTATGCGCAAAGCTGTAAAATCAGAAAGATTTATATGACAATAAATGTATTCCATAGTCCACAAAACATCCACTTGTGTGGGACTAAATGCAGTGGACACCTGTGAGACAAAAGTGCTAGCAGTCAGCAGCAGCAGCCGTGGAAACCTGTACCTCCGGTGAAAGACAAGGGACAGGCTGAAGTGGACTATCGGCCCAGGACAGGCGGGAGCAGGTGCAACCAGGGGAAAGAGTAAAGGAGATCAGCAGGTCTGATGTGGGATGAGGAGTGCACAAGAAAGACACCGATCTGCTGCATAATGGGAGACAAGAGAACACAAGCCCAACCAGTTCTGTGACAGCCCACCCAAATTTCTATCATCCTGGCACCTCTACTGATGTATACTTACATGGGGCTCTGGAGCTGTTTTTGTGTGTATATATATATATATATATATATATATATATATATATATATATATATATATATATATATATATATATTTATTTATTTTTATAATTTTTCCCCTTTTTTTCCTGCACCCCTCTTTGCTGCCTGGTAATGAGGCAAAGATTGCAGACATGACCCACGCTGGCAGTGATTTTAAATGCCACAGCGGTCACTGGTTAAGATGCCATCACCATATATGTACCTGTACTGTCCCACTCCAGTCCACAGCAGCCAAGTACAGCCCGACCTGGACACGCCCATACAGCCCTATCTTGCCACCACTCGAGTGTTAACAGGGGAGCGTTTCCAGATTAGACAGGAAACAGCTGACAGGAGGTGCGCTCACAGCTCTATAGCCTGTGATCAGCAATCATAACCCGCAGCAGTCTTTGCGATTGGACAAGTCTCATGAGATTCTCCTGTGTGTGTGATGGATGTGCACTTTTTGTTGCATGTTTAAAATCATTTAAGACTGAAAAATTTTGTAGTGTGTGGCTGGCTTTACTATCAGCAAGGTCCTCTTTTCACAGATCTCACCTGTTGGCTTAGTAGCATCACCTGCTTGTCTCCATGGAGAGTTTTGCTGCCAGGAATAGCAGGCAAAGTAATAACGTCATTGAGCCAAGCAGGTGGCAGACAATCCACCAAAAAAGCTAAACAGTACACCTTTAATTGTTAATATTTCTGTATTTTCTTTAATTTATTTAAAAAGGAACATTACATTGATCGACTCAAATTATCTGACAAAAAGTTGAAGTTAAATCATCAGATATATACAATTAGTGGTACATTTCTACCATTGTTATCTGCATTTGTACTGTTTGCTCTCACCTTAACCTGATAATTCATTTGTTACAATTAAGTAGAAAAAAGGAGAATTTTCTATAATTCTATTCAGCTCTGGAAGTTAAATCAATATTTCAGTGCACCTGCCTATGCATGTGTTCGATGTAGCAAATGTAAGGCCTTTAATTTCCATGTAAGTAAAGGTCAAACATAAGCTGCTCATCCCTCCTCTCACTCCTGTGTTCGCACATAAAAATAAAGGTGGTCAGTGACTGGTATTAACTGCAACCTTATCAAGATTAGTTAACTATGTCTGAAACACTTTTAACTACAGTAATGAAAAAGAAAATGCAGTTTTGTTCACTCACTGTACAGCTGAATTAAAAGAAGTTTATCATTAAGGTGGAGCTAAACACTAAATGATTTTTTTTTTTCTATGTTTTTTTTCCTCTAAAACTGTGTACAGTATTTGGTGTTTGAAAGCATAGTCTTTAGTTTTAATACAAACTAGGTACATTTGCAGTTTTCTGGTCAAAAATTTATAAAAATGGGTGTGTACTGGCTCCAGTGACCTATGTACTATGTGACATCAAGCAAGACTGCCATGATTGCAGCCAGGTGTTTCTGATTACAAACACCTGGTTGCAAGGGGTGGAGTTTGAAGTGTGGGTATTTGTTCGACCAATCACACTGTTCCTCAAATGTTCAGACCCCGCCCCTCCTCCCCCTGTTTAGGGAAGAAACGCCCATTTACGTTCCGCAGACTGACAATATTGCAGTTTTGTGGCTCTATCTGCACTTAGGTGTTTAGTCCCACTTTAAAGAGATAGTTCGGGATTTTTGACATAAATCTGTATGGCATCCCCGTGAGCAGTGTCGTGCATCCACACTGACTTACCCCCGACAGCGTCCGCTGGCCGTTTTTGGTGCTGACGAAAGTAGTCCGGCAAGTTGGCTGGGGACATTAAAATAAAGCGTTTTTCTTCTCAAAACAATATGTGTTCAAAAGAGTGATACATTTGCATCACAAAACCATCACCCTCAAAAAAGTCAGATCTCATAATCAATTGGAAAGTTAAACCCATACTTCGGAACCTTCTCCATGGATTTGTATGATCTTGATGCTTTTAATGAATAACATTTCCATGAAGACAAGCATGAGGACAAATAGGAGTCAGGTTTGTGGACATGCAAGCCCGCTCAGAGTAAGGACACTGAAAAAGCTTTAGTTTTTAGTCAATATTTTGGTTAAGTCACACATTGGGGCTTTAAATAACTTATTTTCAAGTGCAGGTGAGGGCATTAGTCCTGTGACAGAGAACGCGGCCTAGTTTGGATCTGAGCACATTCGTCAGTTTCATATTCTATTTTCGCACTCTCTTCCTCCTCT